CTCACATGGGGAGTCTAGCCTTAACTTAGTGGCATTGACGTTAAGGCGTGGCATGGCTTTGAAAAACAGGTCTTGATCTCAACACGAAGGACGCATGATTCGCTAAATCTGGCAGCATCTCTTGGAAACTGTGACTTGCAACGGTCATCCAATCCCTTTTAGCTTGGCAAAGTCCAGAATGGACCGACAACTGATGTTTTTCTTTGGTGCCCGATCTGAATGAGTCAAACAAACCATTTCAGACTGCTGCCTTCCAGCCTGTTGCAGGACCTGCTTGATCGTCTACGCTGTTTGGCCCAACAGCTGCGGAAGGCTACAGCTAGAATCTACTCTCGCAGGGGCTAGAGCTTTTACAAAATGCTCAAGCTATGTAAAACCAAGCAAGAGATCATCGTGCTTCAATCCTTCTTCGCCAGGGCCACATTGTCTTCACAGGACCACCAACGCAGCGTGACCGCAATTTAATATTCACTAACTTACAAGCACGACTTTGACAACCGGGTCTGGATTTCAAGGCAAAGAACAAGCAATTGCTGCTTTGAACCCTTTTCATGGATGGTTTGCTGGATGTCGCAGCATCTCTTGCACAACTGTTGCAGTGGCAAATCTCCAATCTCCTCCAACATTGCAAAGCAGGTGCAGGAGTGTTGCTACTCTTGCATGATCGAGGACCAAATCACATGTTCAAGCTGATGAACTGGGAGGGGAGTAAGAGAAAGCTGACAAGTGAAATGCGAATGGCTTGTTCTGACATGATAGTCGGGCTGATGAGAATAGCATGCTGGCTGTCGCTCTTGTTCTTGCACCGACCTGATTGTGAAGGTCTGCTCGTCACGAACTACGAGCACCGGCTGGCAGTGACCACGACATTCAAACATTGAAACTGGCAAAGCAAGGCAGCAAAACTCCAGTTAAAGTGTACAGTCTGGGCCTAAGCCTATGCGCCTGGACAAAAGAATCTGAAGGCATTGCATATCTTGGAACACAAATCCGTGCGCTTCCATCACCTCGTCCATTGCGGCTTCTCCAACGATGGCACTTGCACTTGCAGCATCGCTTTGTTTGAGAGCTCACTGAAAATGGATTCTGGTGCATGCTGTTGTTCTGTTTAGCCTTCAACGTGTGTTTTTTGAAGTGGTGCCTTGCCTTGCCACAGCCTGCTCAACCCTTTGCTGAGACGTTTGTAGGTTTGTAAAGGAGAAGAAATGAATCTCAAATTCTTGTCTAGTGAAAAAACTGCGGCGCAAGTTGGTGTCAAAAGCAACCAGCTAGCAACCAGCTTCAATGCAAGCTCATTGGTGCGATTGATCAGCAAAGGCGTGACAGAATTGGTGTCTGATAAACTCAGTGGAAATATTGCCTTGCAAAAACACTGAAGTAGATGCATTGCATACCGCAAGCCAATGCTTTTTGTTTTTCCACACAGGTTCCGTGCTTGGCCGGCCACACCGGACCTTTCATGGGCCAAAACATTGGGACTTCGGGAGGGAGCATCCCAATCGTGTTTGTCATTTCGGAGGGATTGTACGTAGGGAATGAACAATATGTTTTGGCCCAAATGGTTGATGTATGCTTATGTACAAGTACATGTCTTGTCAGCCCTGTCAGTGATCTCCACAAATGTTTGTGCGAGGTAGTTTCCACAAGCTCACACTCATCAAACTAATTGCAAGAACAACCCAACAACCACTGCAACAGTCTTTTATCTTTGGAACTGACATGTGATAGGATCAATTCATTCGGATGCAAAAAGTGTGGGACAAACAAGGCTGTTGTGATGCCATTAAAACCGTGTCGCTCAGCCGTCCATGATCTTGCAGAACTCCTGATATCGCAGAATCATCTAGTCAATGTTCAAAGTACTCCAAGCCCTTCAGCATCTGTCTTATGTCGCTGGACAAAACCCAAACATAGAGATAGCAAGGTCAATGTGCGGAGGGCTCAACAAGCCCTTTCTCAATCTCTGTGACCCCCCTTCTCCTTGAAGTTCATCTTCCCATCTCCATCTTTGTCGATGCGACCCAGCACTTTTCTCACCTCTGTCGCATGCGAGGGACGTTGGGGTCGGACGTGAGTCCCCACGGTTGGCTGCCTCTGGCTGTGTCCGATGGGTCGCCGTTCGACCGGAAGCTGATTGGATCTGTCTTCTTTTCAAACGTCGTGTTTTTAGTACAACGGCCAGACAGAAACACATAGAAACAAAAACCACGTCGTGAGCCTTCTGCTTTTTTTTCCACTTGAGTGTGGAGCGATCAGTTTCTGTGGCGGTTGAGCTTTCCAGTGGTCTACTCGCTACCCTTCAATCCTTAGAAATATGCACAGTAGTACCTTTCTTAACGGCCATGTTCACCGCCTACTCTTTGTCAAATGATGCAAATCCTCCACAAGATCAGCGCAGCTGTGTCACTGTGTATCATACTCACCTGCACAATCTTGCTTGACTCCTCAAGTAAGTAATCTTGGGAAGGCGCACCGGCTGCAGACTCACTAACACGGAAGTGAAAACTCCATGTTCGTAAGGAAAGTGCGCCATGCCATCCACTTCCATGTTAGTAACTCAGAGTGTAACCCATCTTCACAGGAGCCCAAGCAAGGGTGCGCATCTCACGTGCCTCATCGGGCTCCATGGGCTCAGGGCCCTTGGTACTTAACGCCTGAATCCTCGGAGCAATGCAGCGGTTGTTCTTTGGCTCTTGGCACTGACGAAGCGAAGGGAGATCAGAAAGAATGGCACAGAATGGTACAGAGCTGTTCCGAATAGAAAAGAAAGAGACCGCAAATCTCGCAATGGTTTGCCTGAGGACTCCATGACCTATGGAAACTCGAGCAATGCTAAGCCCTGGGCAATTCTCTAGAACTGATGAAGCCACTGCCATCGACTGAGTGCAAGAAAATTCTTGGAGAAAAAAGGCTGTGATCTCAGCAAACACTGGATCAGATTCCATGTGTAAAAAGAGAGGCTTTTCGGCTTTTCTATATAATTGCAAAGAAAGACTACCACATACAGGAGGAAGGAAATCTAAGAGGGACATGTTTCGCGCTCTTTGAGTACGCTGCGGCTCTTGCCTCCGAGCTGCGTCTGAACTTTGACCAGGCTCCTAAATCCTGACCAACTCTTGTTCGTGCATGAACCCTCACAAAACCAGGCCAGCTCCCCACACGGCCCAGCATCAACGTGTCCGTCAACAACGAAAACATGATACTGTAAGAACAGGCCTGAGGTGAAAGTGAATGTTGATGAAGTGTGGGTTGACCGTCTCCAGCACATTCATGTGCGTTCCCTTTCTCATCTCTGACCTTCTCTACCCTAATAATCCAAAGTAATGATTATCTGCAGAATTTCAAGTACATTTTTTCTGGTTGTTAATGATGGTTGTTTATATATAATGTGTTATGATTACTTGATGCTTGTGACTCACAGCCGACTCGTACTTGCTTGCGTTTCCTTTTTGTGTCTGTTTTTCGTTGGATTGGACATTTGAACATTCTTCTTGAGCTTGTAGAAGATGTGTGATGTTTTTTTGCGTTTGTGTCTCCTTTTGATGGGGGATGCCCTTTGCGTTTGTGCCCTACCCTTCCGCGTTTGACCCCAATTGGGCCCTCGGACGATCGATGGCTTCAAACCTGGGAGGAGGCCCTGGAGGCTTCCAACAACGAAGGCCGTTCTCTAATTGAGTGGAGAGTCCTTTCAACGGTCGAAGTTCTTCCCAACACACCACTGAGATTCCAGTTTTGGTTTGGTGTTGTTGACAGGCTCTCAAGGTTGTAGTCTTGCTGATTCTTTAGACTCTTTCTTGTCCGCTGTCCCAGCTATAGAAGATACTTTCTCTATTTACTTATGTACCGTTCTCAAACTAGAAGCCATAAGAAGAACGTAAAACGTATTGCGTTTTCTCGAGGAGTGTGCTCTTTGGCTTTCCGAGGAGTTCACTTTGGCTCGAACCAGGGATGATGGAAAAGGGTTCCCTTTTACTAGACGACGAGTGGCCCGAAAGCAGTTTTCATCACGTATGAAGTCAGAGTGTGAGTTATGTGTTAAGTGTTCAGTGTGAAGTGTTAAGTCGAGTGTGTTGAGGCAGTGTGTGGGTCTCTGTGTGTGTGTATCTGTGTCTGTCGTACTAGCGTATAAAGTGTACTACGACGTCGCCAGCTCTCATCTTCCAGCTCCCCAGATACTCCGCGTACTACAGTTGTACTACCAAGTCACTAGTTCTCATCTTCCAGCTCCCCAGGTACTCCGCGTACTATAATTGTACTACAGAGTCGCCACTTCTCATCTTCCAGCTCCCCAGATACTCCGCGTACTAAGGTTGTACTACCAAGTCACCAGTTCTCATCTTCCAGCTCCCCAGATACTCCGCGACTCCGCCTACTGAAGTTGTACTACGACGTCCCCAGTTCTCATCTTCCAGCTCCCCAGGTGCTCCGCGTGCTACACTTGTACTACCAAGTCGCCAGTTCTCATCTTCCAGCTCCCAAGCTACTCCGCATACTAAAGTTATACTACCAAGTCGCCAGTTCTCATCTTCCAGCTCCCCAGATACTCCACGACTCCGCCTACAAAAGTTGTACTTCGACGTCCCCAGTTCTCATCTTCCAGCTCCCCAGGTGGTCCGCGTACTAAAGTTTTACTACAAAGTTGCCAGCTCTCATCTTCCAGCTCCCCAGCTACTCCGCGTACTACAGTTGTACTACAAAGTCACCAGTTCTCATCTTCCAGCTCCCCAGATACGCGCGCGCATGGGACAAGTCGCCCACTCGCCTGCTTTTCGTGCACTCGACCCGCACAGTCTCCGCAGAGGGTTGCGCGCATATGGGACAAATCGCACTCTCGCCTGCATTTCGCGCACTCGATCCGCACGATCTCCGCAGAGGGTTGCGCCCGCATGGGGCAAATCGCACTCTCGCCTGCATTTCGCGCACTCGACACGCACGGTCTCCGCAGAGGCTTGCGCGCGCGCCGGACAAATCGTCACTCTCGCCTGCATTTCGCGCACTCCACACGCACGATCTCCGCAGAGGGTTGCGCGCACAGGGGAAAAATCGCACTCTCGCCTGCATTTCGCGCACTCGACACGCACGATCTCCGCAGAGGGTTGCGCGCACACCGGAC